TAGTTTATGTATAGGTTTTTTGGGCAGACTGCTTTATTTCTTGCCAGATGCAGCCCAGGGATATTTTCCTTAGCTGGAGGCCCAAAGAATCAGCCCTAAATAAATAAATGCTGGCCTCCCTTGGAAAGTTTTGACTTGTAGCTTCCTGAATTCACATGCTTTTATATAATATGGTGTAAAGTACACGGGATTTGATGCATTTTAACTGTATTTTGTAGAGTAGTTAAAGACCTTATGATAAGAAGTCTTAAAAAGTTGGGATTGAGGAACATTTTTTATACTCTTAAAGTTTCTATATTTCTTTGCAGATATATGTCGCGTTTGTAGATGCGAGGGTTCCAGCGACCGTCCTCTGTTCCACCCCTGCATCTGTACTGGTAGCATTAAGTTTATCCATCAAGATTGTTTAGTGCAATGGCTTCGTTATTCCCGCAAAGAGTACTGCGAACTCTGCAAACATCGCTTCCACTTCACACCAAGTAAATACAGTTGTTGTTGTTTCTTTGGGAGTATCAATATAGAGAGATAAATTGATTAGTTGATATAGATGATCATTTAAAAATAAAAGTGATATTATTTATTTTTGGCAACAGTCTGCATTTTGATACATTTATATCCATTAATGCATAAAATGCCTTTGCAGTATACTCGCCAGACATGCCCAAGAGATTACCCATAGCAGACATCCTAGCTGGTTTAGCACGCAGCATGGGCACAGCCATCCGTTACTGGCTGCACTACACATTGGTTGCTGTGGCATGGCTTGGGGTTGTACCGCTGACAGCCTGCAGAATATATCGTTGCCTCTTCACAGGCTCAGTTTCCTCAGTGCTCACACTACCACTTGACATGCTTTCAACGTAAGTATTACTTTTTCCCTTTTTAAGTAAGCTTATGGCTATTGGTTTATATATTTGGAACCTTGATGATGCATGTTGTATAAAAGATTTGCAGAGGAATGAAATGACTTTTTTTTTTTTTACATTTTTTTATTCACAGGGACAACTTAGTGTCAGATATCTTCCATGGGTGCTTTGTCGTGACATGCACACTAAGTGCTTTTATCAGTCTGGTCTGGTTGCGGGAACAGATCCTCCATGGGGGAGGGCCAGACTGGCTAGATCAAGAAATACAGCATGAGGTAAGATTTTGTATGAGGAAGTGAGAGTTTGTCCATTGTGAATGTCGTTGCACATAGGTAGCTCCACAAATGCTTCTTGGCTGCTAAGTACTTGGGGAGCCACCCATTTGTATACACAATTACTAAACTCAAATCACAGTGGAAATTTCTTGTATGTCATATCAGCCTAGTACATAGAGTTAGGGTATAACTCATACTTCTCAGTAATTTTTATCCACAGTAATTTAGAAATGTCATGAATTTGCTTTCCTAGTTAAGCATCATATATCATTTAGTATATTCCATATTTTTCGATGTTACTTTAAGCATACTGTTGAGTGATGTTTATTGGTGGACACCTTAAAAATACTTTACATAGGCCTCTTAAAGCAATTTAAAATGTTATGAGAATGAAAATGTTTACATAACAAACATGTATATTTTGCTGCCTTTCCTTGGACATACATGACAATGGGGAATCCTTGTAGGAAATATAAATAGATATATCTATAATGTAAGGAGAGATAGACCTGTGATGTTACCAAAACTCCTACAGGATGAGAAAACTCATCCATAGATATCCCACTTATGAACATGTCAGTCAAAACCTTCAGAGTGATTAGACCTCTGGCTTCTACACATTCAAAATCACTCTGCAAATCTGCAGTATTTTATGCATCAACCACTCAAGGGTCAAAGGGACTCAGATCTTGTCTTTTCCCAGCATGAGCCACCTGGAAATTTTGGAGCAGTCAATCAAGTGAATGGACAAATTCCAGTGCCAGTGGCCAATGAAAATGTTGCGCCGCAGCAGCAAGAAGTGGCCAACGAAAACCTGGACATCAATGATGATCCAGGCAATCAAGAGCTGGCTCCTGTTCCAGCAAATCAAAATATAGGGGAAGGTAGGGACTAGATTTTATTCATCACTGTGGTGTAATTAAAAGGAAATTGGTAGCTCTTGATATGTTTTTGTTGTGGTATGGGTCCAAGAAAATGGTGAGTGCTTGTTGTGGGATGCCTTATAGAAAACAGGGGTGTCGGCAAACCGACAAGTTGCTGGCGGTGGGCGAAGAAGTGCAGTGACCTGAGTTGGGAGTTCTCTTTGATTAGTGATTGAGTTTTGTGAATTTTTGTTGTGTTGGTGAAAGATGGAGTTTTGTTTTCTTGTTCGTGGTAATGATGTGGATTTATGGGTTTGGTTTGTTTTAGTAGATTTTCTTTAGCACAGCAAGTGGTAGACATCATAGTAAGAAGTGAAATTTTTTGGTTTGCTATATCATTGTATTACATGACCATCACTTACTGTATTTGTCATTATCATCATCATTATTGCTGTTATTTTTATTGTTTTTGGGTTCAAACAATGTCAAACTTCATCCATATAAGGTGGTTTACACTCATTTATCAATCTGAAGACCTATTTGTCTGAGAATGACTCTCTTTTCCATAACACTTGTGAAGGATTCATACTGAGCAGATTGTAAACAAAATAGCAAAGGAAAGAGTTTCTTATTTGTATGTTTTTCTGTACTTCCCTTTGTTGTTGTATTTTGTATTGAACTAAAACAAACCTAGAACACAGCATTTTTTAAGCACCCTTTCCAATCAGGAGGAGAGGGTGAGATCCTCCATGAGGGAGCTCCAGGCAACAACAACCTTGACCCAGGAGCTGCAGCAGATGACCTCAACTGGAACCCCATAGAGTGGGACAGGGCCGCCGAGGAGCTCACCTGGGAGCGTCTACTGGGTCTCGACGGCTCACTCGTGTTTCTGGAGCATGTGTTTTGGGTGGTCTCCCTCAACACTATGTTCATACTTGTCTTTGGTGAGTTGTTTGTTTTTTGTTATTTGATTGTTATTGGTTTTCTTGATTTCATACCAGTTGTATTCATTTTCTTACTGTTTAACTTATTGATTTTTATTGTTGCAATAGTCTGTTGATTGCTTATATTGGGAGAATTTATATATTGTTTTGAATTAGATTACAGATATTAAGACTACCAATTAATTATTATCAATGCTAACATTTTCTCTCTCTCCTTCACAGCATTTTGTCCATATCACATCGGGCACTTTACCATAGTTGGTTTTAAGCTAAAAGCGTGGGTGTCTGCATCACATTTTGAGGGTCTTCTGACAGCACTGTGTGGGTACTGTGTGGTTGGGTTATGCCTGGTGCTATTACATACACTGGCTGCAATTATCAGGCTTAACAGGTAAGTTGAAATACATTTCCGTTCTTTTCTTGAGATATCTGGAAGAGGCTGGAAAAAAATGGTGAGATGTGAAAAGAAATTTGAATAGATGGATAGATTTTCCTGATTATTTTGTCCTGTGTTTTCAGATATTGCTTCATGTTTACAATACTGGTTTCATATATTTCCTTTTCTGTTTCAATAGTATTGTTTGGTAATGTTTTGAGATAACTGAATATTAATACTTAGTGTACTGCAAAGGAGTTTACAAATTTTATGATATTAGGATTAAGGGGGCTTAATATCTTTATATCTCTAAGAATGAACAAAAAAAGAAAAAAAAATCCACTAAACAAAGAAAAAAATTCAAAATTCACTCGTTGATAATATAGGTATTGCTATAGAGTATGTGATATTTTTTTTTCAACAAGTTCAGTCAATGCATAAGTGAGATACGTAAGTTTTTTTAATTTTTCAAAATCTTGTTTTTTTAAATAACTTCATTGTTTATTATCCAAATGATATGAACTTGGTAGTGTAAATTGTAGTATATGTATATATAACATATCAAAAATACGCGTAAATCTGATCATAATTCTTGAGTGCGACGGCCCCCTTAATTTGAAAAAGCTTGTTATGGGATTTTAAGTGCTCATTGCTGAAAATACACAGTATGCCTTTATTGTGCAGAAATAAGTAAAAAAAAAAATCCAGGTATTTAAAAAAAAAAAAGCTTTATATATAAAATGAAAATATTTTACTAATTGTTTTTCTTTTTTTTCACCCTGTAGGTCAAAGCGTGTCCTAGGTTTATGTTACGTTGTAGTTAAAGTTGCTCTGCTGAGTGTAGTGGAGATTGGGGTCTTCCCGCTGATAGGTGGCTGGTGGCTGGACATTTGTTCCCTCTCTCTCTTTGATGCAACGCTAAAGGTTTGTACATGGCTGGGAAAGTTATTTTCATAGGCTTAGAGAGATTTAAATTGTAGTGAATGGAACACTGTTTTACAGTATGAGTATTTTAGGTGTATTCTGTGCTCGTTAATGTTTTTGATGTTTGTTTATTTGAATCAGTTTTGGAATTCTTGGAAAGCTTGATAGTAATAGCCTCTTAATTCGAAAAGGACCGAGAGGTGAGCTTTAAGATGGCGCCAGGCACATCCATGTTCATCCATTGGCTGGTGGGGATGGTGTACGTCTTCTACTTTGCTTCGTTTATCCTCCTCCTGCGGGAAGTGCTGAGACCAGGTGTGCTGTGGTTCCTCAGGAATCTCAATGATCCAGACTTCAATCCTGTTCAAGAGGTGAGTCAGTATGTGGATTCACAGTCAAACACTTAGATTCTGCAGATAAAAAAGAAAGAAAAGAAAAAGGTGATCATTTCTCATTGTAGCTGCTGTATCCTTTCCTTCCTCTTTTATCACATTGCATTTGTTTCACAAATTCATTATATTCTGCTCCTATTGACCATTTTTGCTTTGTGCTTTCCCTAGATGATCCACCTGCCTATTGTGCGCCACACCCGACGTTTCTTGGCCTCCATGGTCATATTTGGTTCCACAGTGTTGTTGATGCTGTGGCTTCCAATAAAGATCATTCATGGACTATGGCCTTCCTTTTTACCATATCATATTACACTCTCAAGGTAAGTTAGCAAAAATAAGAGAATTCTTGAAAGTAAATGAAATGGTGAAGAATAGATGTTTTAAGTTTTACTATGAAAGAGACGAGCAACATGATTTGTTTCGTTGTCAGTGATACCCCAGTGAGTGAGCTGTCGCTGGAGCTGCTGTTGCTCCAGGTGATACTCCCAGCACTGCTAGAACAAGGTCATACTCGAGTTTGGCTCAAGCTCTTGGTCAGACACTGGTGTGCCGCTGTGTCTCACATTCTTGGATTGAGATCATACTTGCTTGGCGATGTGGCTCTTGACGCTCAGGTATGAAACTGGTAAAAAGGTGAAATGTGAACTTCATTTTCCTTAAGACTTTTTCATATAACAAGTATTAGTATTCCAAAAGGGAATAAAACATATATGTCGGCATTTCTACAGAAGTAACTATATTGTAAATATTTATGAATGTATATCGATATTTATATTTATATTTATAAATATGGATTTTTTTACTGTAGGGAGGTGGTGTTGTGATTGGTGGTGACACAGTTGGAGCTGCTGGAGAAGGTGGTGCAGCTGGTGCGGCTGCTCCTCCAGTGGAAGTAGAGCAGGCTGATCCCGAGCTGGTGGAAGGCCTGGTGAACCCTGTTGTTGGAGGGCCTGGAGGTGGAGATGCCCTGGGAGGAGGCCTTGGCGCGGCACATCAGGCATTGCTCCAGCGAGATGGACCGACTGGTAGGTCTTTTTTCTGCCCTGGTGTTTGCTTGCATATTCCTTACACTGGTCTTAATGTTTATAGATAGGTTGGTTCGAGGATTATTGACACGTAACTCTTGCATTCTATCCAGGTTTCCAGGCTTATGTACGGCCGAGATGGTTTGGTGTGCGTATCTTGGGCTTGGTGGTCATGATGTGCGTGAGCTTGACAGCAGCATCCATTATATGTCTGACACTTCCAGTCTTAGTGGGTCGGCAGTGCATGTATCTTGCCCTTGGTGACACCAAAGTAAGTTGTTTGTGTTGTGTGAAATTGCCATGTCTTTGGTATAAAAATGATAGCCATTTATTATAGGCTGAATTGTAGATGTAATGAAGTTGTAAAGATAAATTATCATTATATAATATGTTCTTAATTTCATAGGGAAATAGTGATATAAGGAACTTGTAGAGTTTACTGTATTGAAGTAATATTGTTGATGATGTAATATGAACAGTATCTAATAGACTTCTATTTTCAAGGTTCATGAACTCTACACTGGTGCATGTGGTCTGTACCTGTGTTTGCTTAGTATTCGAGGCATCACTCTCCTCATCTCATGGATAATGCTGGGATGGTCACAGGTCATCTTGCGCTTGAAGCAATGGGGCATCATGGTGAGTATGTGATGAGGAAGAAAGTGAATATGGACCATTTTTTAGTTCACATGTTTATTGAGCAGTTTCTTTAGTTCTTTTCAGTAGCTTTCCGTTTTGCATGTTTTGCTAGTGTAACTAATAAACAAATTCCATTTCAGGGCACCAAGGCACTAGTGGCGCTAGTGGTTGTGGCGGTAATTGTGCCATTGATGGTGGGCGTTCTCATGGAGTTGGTCATTGTTATCCCTCTGAGAGTTCCCCTCCATCAGACGCCAATCATCTTCCTCTGGCAGGTGAGTTGTGAGTTGTTTGGGGGTGACATGCTTTTTACATGCATTTTGTATATATTACATAATACTGCTGTCTACCCACATCATGCAAACTGCATAGTTATCTCTATGAGCAGAGAAAGTAACAGGTACATGGTTGGGCAATGACTCGTGAATTCCTGGTGATGAATGTTGTGTTTGAATTAATCCTTTTGAATTTGTTACAGGTTTTATGACTGATACATGTTTTTCCAATTTCTCTATCTTCAAGATTGGGATGTATAATTTTTGGGAAGATTCATTTTCATTTTGTAAACATCTAATGTGTTGCTTTATTAATAAATACAAATATATAGATATTGCCTTGATTTTTATATGATGAAATAGTGTATATGATTAGATATTGAGTATTTAGGCTATTTGGTGCATGTCATTTGTTGACACTAGAATCTTATATGTAATGTGCACTTTTAGAATGTCATTTTTAATTTCTTCAAATAGGACTGGGCCCTGGGTGTCCTGTACACAAAGATCATGTGTGCATTGGTCATGATGGGTCCAAACTGGTGGCTCAAGACAAATCTGGAACATATCTACTTGGGTGGAGTACGTGGCCTGGACCTGAACCTCCTTGTGGGCCAAACGGCACTTCCAGTCATTGCAAGCCTAGGTGCCTGTCTCACCATTCCCTATGTCACAGCACACACACTGGCCCCTCTCTTTGTACCCCCTAGTGCACTGGTAAGCTCTGCTGCTATGTTATGTTATACTATTATGATCATGGTAATAATTTTTTTTTTAGATATCTTTCTTGTTTTTCTGTTGGTGCCACATTGTTGGTATATGTTTTTAACAGTTGTTTTATCAAGATCTGTTTTGACATGAATTTGAGAGTTTGTCATTGTGATTAAATTATCTGAACCTCATTGTTGAACAACTAACAGGAAACACATTTTGTTTTTATTTTATAAGGTCCTGGTGGAGCGTCGCATATATCCTGCACTGTTGATCATAACACTGCTGTCTACCCTCATCATCATGCAAGTTGTACAGTTCACCCGTCTTTACGAACACATAAAAAATGATAAGTACCTGGTTGGGCGGCGACTCGTGAACTACGACCATACTAGCACCCAGACCTCTTCCCCAAGGCTCGAAAGCGAGATCACCCCATTTGTCAGGTGAAGGTGACAGGAGTAGGAGGTAGATGCCCTAAAGTATGCCTGTGAATGGAAGTTATATATTTTGTCTAGGTGT